GGGTTATTGTTTAATTAGGGAATCGCTAACTAGAAGCTCAAGCCCTGTGCCCTCCCTCTCTGATGCTTGTTTGGTTTCAGTGCCGATTTTTCCCTCTGCAAACCATTCTTCTCCTCTGCATTCCTTAGCGCAGCCGCAGGCAAAGCCAACATCTAATGTTTTCAGGGAGCTGGCAAATTTCAGAAACGCCAACGAGGGCCTTTTAATGACATCTTTGTTCACTCATTTGCAGGAAGGGGGTGTAAACTGTGCTTGGAAAGCAGCTAATGGTTTTAGGAAAACACCAACTACTCTGTTTTGTACCAGAAAACCATGGGGTTCTGAAAAAACATTCTTTATATTGCCCCGCTTAGTCTCATCTTACCAAGAATTCTTGTTCGGCCAGAAATATTACTTAATGTTTAATATTAGACACTGAGACGTTCACTCACTGGTAGCGTATTTTAATCATATTCCACATTATGCTGTTTTTGTTTTGTTCCTTCTTTCCCCGCCCTCGGGGTCAGACTGAACTCTCCAACAGTGATCTCATAGGTTTCTTAAATGTGTCATTTCTAAAGCCTCACACTTCCTATTTGGATACATTGTAAGCCATAAACCAGAAAAGGCACGGGGACAGTGAAGAACATACATTAAACAAAAGATAGATTCTGTTTTGGACTGACCAAAACCAGCCTGTACCCGGACAGGGAGGAGGAGAATAAACATTTTGACGTCTTTGTGTAAATCAGGCAGATTCCTCCGACATGTTTTCCAATTTCTGTTCCATTTTTTCTGTGCTCCCGCCCGAGGACATTGACGTCTGGACAATCAATGACACAGGCTTACACACACGTACTGTCGAGCACAAGCCTGGAAGAGCTGCTGAAATGGTTTAAAAGTTTCTGTGTGGAATCCACCACAAAGTACCAGTTAAAAGGGCCAGGAGTGAAAGCAGAGCTCCCAAATGACTAAGACTAAAAAAGATAATACCCCCAGGCATCTGTATGTCTCAGCATTTAAATTATATCCCTTGAATGCCAATTTGGACTTTGTGCCAAGAAGCAGCTGAAGCCCTTTTTCATGGAAATACCCAATAGAAGACCAATCTGTTTAAATGAAAGGTGTCTCTAATCATTCCGTATAAACATAACATGTTTTTATTTTATTATGTAACCTTGAATTATCTTGGCTTCTAATAAGGATCTTGTATTGTTACTGATTCTCAATAATTTCACGGAATTATGTTGTCTAAATGTGTATTCTGATGCCAAAAAAAAAAAAAAGAAAGAAAAACCTGTCTCATTATTTAAACACAGTTGCTTCATCTCGTACATTTCCTACTTTTGAAAAAGTCTGTTGTCCGTTAAAGAAATAATCTTGTCTGTAATGGGTTTTCCCTCCAAGTTCCACGCCCTCGTGGGTACCCGTAGTATAATGAAAACTGTAAGTAGATGTGTTTCTAAGTCATTGAACAATTTCTGTACTTCCCCCTTTCTGAATTCCAGCCTATTTTCTTCTCTTTGCAGGATTAGCGATTATATGGATCTGACCCCTGTAGACATTGTAGGGAAGAGATGCTACCATTTCATCCATGCCGAAGACGTCGAGGGCATCAGGCACAGTCACTTGGACCGTAAGTACCTCCTGTGTGAGGGAACAGCCTGGCTGGCATCATCGCTCTCCGATGCTTGTTTGGTTTCAGTGCCGATTTTTCCCTTCGTGTCTCCCGTGTGCATTTGAGATGACTGTCAGCACACAGTGAGAAAAAGTGAGACCTACATCACTTCCACCTGTGTGGGAATTAGATTGAAAGCTCGACCTCAGGCCTAGAGAAATTGCTGGATGGTTAGGCCCTCACACGGGATTTTGTGTTCTCTTGTGCTCTCTCTCCCATAAAGCCATGGGAAAACCTTTGTCGTAAGTGCTTTCTTGACCCTTTCATTTTCTAGAGAGCAAGTACCACTCTGAAATGTGTGGTCTCTGTTTCAAGATATACAAGGGAGAAGACAAGTTCAAATAGACCAGAGACTTTAACAATTCCTACTCGACTAACCGCAAAACTGAGGCCCAGGGGAGCTGGGACACAGTGGCAGAGCACGTTGTGTGGATACAGCAGCTCTCAAAGGCAGTGTCTTTTCACTGTATTTCTGGAAAGAGGGTTATTCAGAGGAAAACTTCCCTCCGGCTCCCAACTCCCAGGAGAGGGAAACTCATCTCAGCTGTTTGAGTCTGGTTCCCAGCTCCTGACTCACAAGCTGATACCCAAGGTACCTTTTTTGGCATTGGAAGAAAGAAGGACCCATGGTGTTCTGGCCAGGTCCAAGCAGAAACTCCCACACCGGGTCCCATGCAGCTTTTCCTCATCACACTCAGCCAGGTGGTTTACACCGTGTGTTGAGGGCCTCAGACAATCCCATGAAGCATAAGGCACTAGACTACTGAACCTCTTAGCAAGAGGCTGCCCCTTTTCCCACAAGAGGTCCTTTTTATGACCAATCAGTAGAGTCTTCCTTAAAGATGAGGGCCCAACCAGCTCATCTTCCTAGAATGTTCTAAACCCAGTTTTGAACTCTGGTTTTAAATACAGGCAAGGGGCCACCAATGAAATACTACAGCGTGACAGTCAAGGTTTTATGTAGAAATGCTAGCCGGGTGGCCTTTGTAATTTACTTCCTCCCCCCCCTCCTTTCTTGCCATGGTTGAGGAGAGCTGTCTCAGGTCTGTCCTGCCCTTTGCTGTTGTTTGCTCATTTTAAACTCGCATCTTCAAAAGCATAATGGCAAGACAGTAAGCCCGCCAAAGTCTCGAAGTGTGAGCATCTTGTACTGCCTTTTAACCGTGCATTAGCAACACTGATGTGGGACCAAGTTCAGTGTCAAATTTTGTATACATCACGTCTCTGGGAAAAGCCTGCCTGCAAGGCTGCTCTCCAGCAGATTCTACTCCCAACACTGAGTGCGTGCCTTGGTATTGCACACCAGGGATTTGGGGAACACACTTGTTGCTAAGAATGAATGGGTGTTGTGCATCGCAGAAGCAGATGGCTCTTCAATTAATTGGGGGAAAAAAATGATGCTGCTTCCTGAAAAGAAACATCAGGTTCTTTGTAGCTGGGAATTCAGAGAAAATGGAGAAAAATCAGGATCTTTGGAGGAGGCTATAGATACATTTTTGGACCGATATATGCCAGAGATCCAGACTTTAAAAATGAATATACTGTTTTTAGGACACTGTCATGCACCATGCGTGTGGGGGGTGAAGGGTGCTTTTTCATTTTGGACTCTTAATTGAGGTCTAACTTCAGAAACCTGATGCTGACAAAAAAGAACTATGTCATCCTCAGTTATTATTTGGAAAACGTCATGCTATCTCTCTGGGATTTGATTTACAGCTTGAAGAAACACAATTCCTCAGGAACAGTGAGCTAGGGCAATTCATTTCTTCCCATGAAGCAGAGGTCTCCAACAAATATGTTTGATGCCATTCTTTCCAATCTACTTTTATCTCATTTTCAGTAACCAGAATAATTTGAGAGTGCTGAAAATAAACAACTCCACCATTCACTATTGTACTAGTCTCCTAATTTTTCTGGTATCTTGCCAACTAATAAACAGAGAAGGTATGCTTTTAAATTCTGTGATTTTTTTCATTACTTGATATTGACATACTGGCTATTGCTTTATGATTTAGCCTACTAACAATGATTGAGTTCACTCTTTCAACTCATACACACGACTTCTAATTTTAAGTTCTTTTAATAACCTCAAACACATGAAAAACAAATAAAATGAGCTGATAATTCCGCACAGTAAAATACACTTCACATATTTAGCTATCATGCTGTGGAATAACTCCACAATGTCAAGTAGCACACAATTAGTAAAACTGTAGGGGGAGGAAAAGGAGTGTTTTGATCCTGAAGAATTTTGATCCTAATCAGATTGAAATTTCAACGTTCTTGTAGTGCTTAATATCTTCAATCACACACACACACACACACACACACACACACACAAATCAAACTGATGCCAATGTCAGGTTTTGCATTCTGTGACTGAAATAAAATGCTAAAATATACAAATGCATCTCGCTTTGTACAATAAACATTAACATCATTATAAAGTAAGATTGAGTCTAAAATTGTGTGATGGAATGTCTGATGTTTACCTAATTCTCAAACCAAAGCCAGCCCAGTAACAAAATGACAGAGCATGTAATAAGTCTTGGTTGTGTAAACATTGGAAGAAAAGGCAAAATGCCAGTGCAGTATCCTGCTCGTCCAAAGCCCTAGGCTATTACTGAAGGATGCCTCAACTGTACCTTCTTGGCGGGAGAAGGTCATGGTGACAGAGAATCGGCTCAGGAATAAGATAGAATTCTAAAACAAAGGGGTGGTTAAAAAATAAACTACATTAACTATTTAGCTTTTCTTCCTAGAGCTATTGGCACAATTCCTGTTTCTGTGCATGAAAGGCAGGTTTTAGCCATCTGATATTTCTGATAGCTTGATATCTGTCTTACACTCCGGTTTACAGATAAAACTTTAAAATAAAAGACTCAATAGTCTTTGAGAACTCAGAATGCTATTTTTATCACTTATATCTTTCTCCTAGCTTAGGCATCTGTAAATCCATAGATGAACTTGTCTCTAGAATAAAAAAAGTAGAGGGGGAATCTCAGCTCCATCAGGAATTGACAACTTTCATCAGTTGAACCAAGAACTCCGGACCACTCACTCTCCCACCAAGTTAACATGAGTGGCCCGATAGTTCACACTAGCTTCCCACATAAAGAATCAGTAAGAATCGCATTATCCTTACCAACATGGTGGGTGAGTGAAATCCTACTGGGATTCTAAAACCAAGGGGGTTGTAGGCCCTCTTCTTTCACTGTGACCAAAGACCCCTCTGATTTGTTTCCCTTACGCCACCTTACTGGAGTCATTGAACCCAATTTCACTGATTCTCCAAGCCAAATTGACCAAATCACCATTTCACGGTTTGAATTTTAAACTACTCATATAAGCAATTATTTGAGCATCTTTGTCTATCACACTCTCCACTTCTCCATTGCTCAGGAGGTATTGGCCTGAAGGTGACCAATCAGGTCTCCTCAGAGTCCCAAATCCCAGTTAGCTAGTGCAGCCATCTAGTACTCTCGCCCTGCCTTTAGCCCAAAATAGAAGGGCAAACCACAAATGCTAAACCGAACCGAGAAACATGTTTTGCATCCCTCTTAATGTCTATAGAAGTTGCTGAATTTGTCTTGAGATACCCCTGGGGTCCTTTCCAGGTCAAATCGGCAATGTTTCTAAAACCTGGAAAGAGTGGCAGAGAGAAACTTCCCTTTACAATGTCGTGCTCCACTAGCAAGGCTCAGGGCTCTGCAGCCGTGGGACTTTAGACAAAAGGAGCCAGAAAGTATAGAACTGGTAGCAGTTTTCCCTTCCTAGAACCTTAACCAGGATGAAGAAACTCTATAAGAGTTATTTCACAAAGAAAGAAGGACTTCTGCCTTGTCTACAAGATCTCGTTGAATTACAAAAGGATGGGCTGCCCAATATATTTGGAGGATGTTAAAAAAGAAAAAAAATACAGTAGCCTAAGCATTTATTTCTCAATTACAAAATTTTATCCTTCTTGACAAAAGTAATACACAGCTACCTGGCATAATGCAATGCATGCTGTTTTGCATCAATAACCCCTACGCTTCCCTCCTGAAGGCGTCTCATCGCCAAATGCAAGCCGACTGCTTAATGCAGGACTAATTAGTATATCCCCTTCCAGTCTGCAGGCCCTCCATTGTAATTCCTTCCCAGCTCATTTTTTTCCACAACCGAGCATCAATCAAAGTAAGTGCCCTGCCTGCCTCGGAAACACAAGATGTCCTCCATGCATTTGTCATCTGCCACGCAAACAAAGGGGGAATTTAATTGTTGATTTGGGTATGCAGCCATTGCACACAGTAAAGGAAGCTGCAATGAAGGGAGAAAGGAAGGCACAAAGTTTGGTGGGTGGGCCGAGTGCAAATAGCACAGGGGACTTTTTTTTTTCTATCTTTCGATCTTAGCCGTTTTCGGGGCTGGGCCTTCAGGGATTTAGCTGCAACCTGATCATTGGTTGGACTTTTTCCCAAAGCAAATGAGTTTTTCCTCTTCTTCCGTATGAATATGGAAATGCCCATGAAAAGAAATACATGTAATAGCTACCGTGTCAGACTTTTTTCAGAAGCCAAGTCAGCCCACGTCGTGTGCCTGTCCATTAACCAAAAAAGATGCTCACGTGGAGAAGAAATAAAGTCAGGTTTTTATGTAGAAGTGAATTGCCAGTATTATTTTATGTCAATTTTTTTTCTTTTTGAGGAAGTATGGATTTTGGCTTTTCCAGTCTAAAGGCAGGCAGAGAACAGAGATCAGCGAGGGCCTATCAGCTGAGTGTCCTCGGTCCCCTGCGTTTATAGAAATGCAGAATTTCAGGCCTACCCCCAGCTTACTGAATCCTCATCTGCAGTGAGCAAGATCCCCAGTGGACTCCCATTCAGGTTAACGTTTGAGAAGGATGGACTATACTAGCATTTAGAAGGCATTCTTGTCTTACATGAAGTAAATACAAATTGACGAACAATCTTAACGGC